GATAGATAGATAGATAGATAGATAGATAGATAGATAGATAGATAGATAGATAGGAGAACATCCCTTTGTAAATTGGGGTCTCTCTCAATATTCTTTGGAAGGAGTCCCTCCTGCATGTGCCATCTAACAAACATGGTTTCCTGCTTTGGATTCCACATTGCTCTTCCATAATCTTCCACTTGTAGAATTGAGCATAGAATTGAACACAGGTTCCTAAATTTCATCAGGGGACCAACTATCCCCTCTGAGTGGTGTGACATCCCAAGGGGATCAGGAAAGAGTTAGCCCATAACCCGTGGCTGCTTGTCAACTCACCGCTTGAAGATCAGGTACCACTTATGATTGCAAAAGTCTTTGCATGGTTTTAGCATGTCACAGCTTTTCCTGGGCCCAGAGGTCCTGCTTATGATCACTCATGTTTCACTCACCTTTATCTAGACTACTGCAATGCACTTAATGTCTATTTCCACCTGAGAGGGCAGAGAGGACCTTCTCATTGGAGAAGGGCAGGGACAAATATAGCAGGAGGTCAAGAGGCAGGCTGGACACAGGACACTGGTCCCACCAACAGAAAGCCGTCCGAATGTCTAGCTCTTGGCTTCTATCCTCAATCCTGGTTATCAGATCTTCGGTTGTCTTACCTGCTGCACTGGACTTGATTGTCAAGTTTGTGTGTGATAAAACTTCCCCCACCTATGGTTTTAATAAGGACGAAGCTGCCAACTTGGCATGTCTTATGGAAACCTGGTTGTTAAGGGAACAGGCAGAGCTTGGCTCTCCTCATCACAGCCCCCATCTTCATTTTGTTGTACCACATGCAAAATGTTGAATGACACCATTAAAGCCATCACCTTCACTCTTGAACCATATGCTGCAGATACCTCTGTTACCAGGAGTCAACATCAGTGGTGGGATTCAAAAATTTTTACTACTGGTTTTGTGGGTGTGGCTTGGTGGGCGTGGCTGGCAAAGGATACTGTAAAATCACCATTCCCACCCCATTCCAGCAGAAGGTTACTGCAAAATCCCCATTTCCTCCCGATCAGCTGGCACTCGGGAGGCAGAGAATAGATGGGGGCGGAGCCAGTCAGAATTTTTACTACCGGTTCTCCGAACTACTCAAAATTTCCGCTACCGGTTCTCTAGAACTGGTCAGAACCTGCTGAAACCCACCTCTGGTCAACATCAATGGTTAAATTAAAGCTAATGAAGAGGAGAACTGAGTTTTCCCCTGCTTGCACTGTGGATATGAGTTTGCAAACTGGGATATTAATGAACATCGACACAAAACTTTATTAATATACAGCCCAGATCACAGGACTGTAGCACCAAGATGAAGTTTCAAATTTCGATACCAGCTGCAAAACAGGGTGGATAAAAATCAATGATTTTTAAAAAAAAATTAAAAAAATCAGATTTTTTTAATTTAAATCAGATTTTTTTGATTTAAATTGGATTTTTTTTATTTTTATCGAATTTATTTTAATAAAAAACTTTTGGGGTAAAAATCTATCATAAGATAGTTTTCTATTTAAGATACATAAATAATTTAGTTTATTCAGCGTGAAATGGAGCTTAGTTATGTAGCAGGAGGCTGTATATTCTGCAACACAGGGACTATCGGTGAGTCAACAGCGGGTCAAAGGAGTAGCAGAGATGACAGTTGCTCTTTAAAAATTATGATTTAAATCGAGTTGATTTAAATCAAGCCTTTTTACTAGTGATTTAAATCATGATTTAAATTGTGATTTAAATCAACTCGATTTAAATCAAATCCACCCTGCTTCAAAATCATGGTCGCTGAAAAAAGAAATTGTCAGAAGAATAATTTGGGGGTCCCACTCGAATCGGTGTTGTGCAAGAAGAAATCAAAATAAAATCCAGACATCTGTGAGGAAAGGAGATTTATTGATTCCCCAAAGCAAAGAGGTTCATCTCTGAGGTTCATCTACAGAGAAAATGAGGCACAAAAGACTGATTTATAGGGGAGCTTGTCCTTGGTTTTAATTCAAATTGAACTAAATTAATAGTTTGATTTTAATCTATTTGTGTTTACAGACCTTCTTCTTTGATGCGTGGATTAGGTCTGGGTAATTTATTTGTGGGGTTTGTGGAAGTTTGAATCAAAGATTTTCCTCCATTTGCTATTTTTACTTTGTTAACTTAATTTCAGCTTGACTGTCAATTATCTAGCTGAGATGCCGATTCCATAGTCGATTGTGGATTCTGTTAATATTCAAGGGAAGATGGAGACAGTATAAGGAATAAAATATCGTTTGACTCAAACTTCCCACAACATCACAGCACACGGTAGCCTGTTAGACCCAGAGCCAACAAGACCCTGTTGTTCCGCCAGGCCGGGCTATCAATGTAATGATTTTTAAATTGGGTGTTTTAAATTTTGGGTGTTTTAAATTTGAGCCGAAATTATTTAATAATTTTAATTATTTTTAACTGATGTCTGTCTTTGTGCTTTTAATAGGCTGTACACCGCCCTGAGACCTTCGGGAGAAGAGCGGTATAGAAATAAAATTATTTATTTATTTATTTATTTTATTCTAGGTAGCCACAACCACATCCTCTCACATCCAAGCTTGCAATCCTGTTGCCGCTAACCTAGGGGTACCTTTTCCCTAATCTCTTGCAGTTGTGCCCTTTCCACATCGGGTGGATAGAATCATCATTAACTCATCTCGGAAAGTGTGGGGGAAGAAAACATTATCAAGAAGAAAATGAATGAAGGTTAATGATGTCCTTTGGGTGCGCCAAAATAGGAAGTTATTTTTAATTAAACCAGTTTTGCAAAATAATGTTATTGTGTGTCAAGAGGAAGAAGGATACTTAGGTAAGCCCACTGCCTGAGGGTTTGGCAATCTTTAATAAATGCTCTCACTATAAAGCTTCCCAGGATTATTATGATGAGGCAAAAAAAGGTTTGTGTAAGACTAGACTTAGATACAAGTGCATACTAAATAATAACAATACTTAAGACGAGGGTCTTCTCTATGTACAAAGGGAAATTTATATTCTGCAATATGCAAATAGAGACCAATTTTCCCGTAGGAGAACCAAGAATCTATTTTGTTGTTTTGATCTTAGGTTCAGGAGGAGAGCCTCCAAGATGCTTCAGGAGTCTGGATGAAATTTTCTCGTCTCTCTTTCTTGTAAGAATTATGAGCAATCCCTTATCTAGACTGGAAGATGTAGAAGAAACTGCCCAGGATTCCTAAAACCAGCACCATATTGCTCAGTTTCACGCTGGCCGCCCCACTGAAGTTACAGAAGGTAAACTGGCAACAGTTCGTAGTGGTAGATGATAATCCTGTGGTCATGTAGCTTTCGTCACAAGTTGGAGTGCATCGCTTGCTGATCCGGTAGTCATCGGGCTCACCTTACGTGGCAAAATAAAAACAAGTAATTATATAAAATGCAAGAAATTAAAAGCCACCAAAAAAAATGGGGATTTCAGCCCTATCTAGACTCAGCTTCCCTTTCAGGCTGGACCTTCTAATTGGGCGACTTGAAGATGGGTGGACTTCAACTCCCAGAATTCCCCAGCCAGCAGAGGTTGAAGTCCACCCAGTTTCAAATTGCTGGACCTGAGAAACTTTTCCTGGGTCCCAACTCTCTTGGCAGATATTTCCTCTACTTTCCAAGTGTCCCACTTTACAGCATATGGGAAGTACATTAAACACTCTTCATTTCCCTGGTACGTCCTTTCTTCCTCCAACTTTCTTAACAATGGTTGAACTTCTCTGGTCTAAAACATTGGGGTCAAGTCTATCTGAACCCACCATCCTCATGCCAGCTAACCCTTCCACTCAAACCTCTGGAGAACCAGTAACTTGGAAATTAGGTAAGTTCAAAAGAAACTTTCTTCTGTTCATTGTATAATTCAAGTCTGGGTCCAAATTTTTGAATATCTACATCATATGGCATCCCTGTTCCCAGAATTTAAGAGCAACGTTCAATATTTTTAAGATGAAAATAGTTTCAGTATTAGATCATCCCCATAAACCACTTTCTGGTTCATTCCAAATTATTAATTACAGAAATACAGTAATTATTTCTGCTTCCATGAACTAAAGGTGCTTTTTTTTTTTTTCAAGAGGCAACTGGACTTTCTGGTTTTTGCTTTGAAGACGTTTTGCTTCTCATCCAAGAAGCTTCTTCAGCTCTGACTGGATGGTGGGGAATAGAAGGATTGATATTCTTTGCAGACAGCTGGTCATTTGCGCTCTTTTAGAGAGTCATTGAAGCCACTTGAAGGTTTATTTGTGTCGTCAGGGTCACCTGAGTGATGCAAATGGGTATAGAGCCTTCTTGGAACTGTTGACTGTGTTGTACACTGGAGATGGTCTTCAAAGAAAAACCAGTGTTGTGGTCCACCAGCAGCCTGTGGAGCTGGCAACAGAGTCGCCAGGTTGGGAGGAGGTTGGGGAGGAACATGGGCCAGTCCTGGAGTTTGGGGAAGGCTCAGATGAGGGCTCTGCATCGGAGGCAGAGAAAGAGCCATCTGGGAGGTATGTGCTGCCTCCGGAGCCTCCAGAGTCAGACTTCAGCGAGGCAGAGGAACGGGGAGCCTGTTCCCAGTGCGTGCATGCGCAGAGCTGCCAGAAGGCAAGAACAATTAAAACAAAAGGGACAACTCAGGAGTAAGGCTTGGAGATGATTGGCCCCTCCGATAAGACTTAAAAGAGGAGCAAAGGCACATGGGCCTTTGCAGGAAGCAACTTTGTTAATTCTGTGCAGTTTAAAGTCTGAAGCTCTGTTTGATTCTGGACTCCGTGTAGCTTTGCAAATTCGGTCCTTGGCAGTGTGTCAAGGGAGATAAAGGTGGGTGATTATTAGGCTTATCCCGAAGGACTCTTTACAACGATTTGGGACTCAGCTGTGAATGAACAGAATTCACAGCTGTTAAAATAAAATAGGCTTTTGGGACTACTCGTGTGTTTTACTGACTGAGGAAGCCTAGGTCAGAAGAACCAGAAAGTCCAGTTGCCTTTTGAAAAAGCACCTTTGGGACAACCATGACCTGGATGATGGAGAATTTCCATAGCGATTCTGCTTCAATAATACATACCGAGTCTGCCGCGGCTAACCGTTTTAACGGTAGTGCAGTATTTGTCTGTTTCCGCGCACTTCTTCATTGATATACAGTTCCAGTTGGAAGGTTCATTTTCACAGTAATAGCAGGAGAGGGAATGCACTGAATAAAAGACAGAAAAACACATTTTATACAAGAGTAGCCCGGCTAAACACCTCTCGTCCGTTGAGAAACTTTCCATGCTAAGGACCCAGTATTCCTGAACTTTGTAGTCCAACCTAGGAATGGCTGGGCATTTTAAATCCAAATACAGGTAGTCCTCACCTTACGACCATAGCTGAGCCAAAACTTTCTATTGCTAAGCGAGGCAGTGTTTAAGTGACTTTCGCTCCATTTTACGACCTTTCATGGCACAGTTGTTCAGCGAGTCACTGCAGTTGTTAAGTTAGCAACACGGTTGTCGAGTAAATCTGGCCTTCCCTGTTGACTTTGGCTGTGCAAAAGGTGATCATGTGACCCCCTCCCACTCCTGGGACACCGTCATAAATATGAGCAGTTGGCAAGGGTCTGAATTTTGATCATGTGACTGTGGGGATGCAGCAATGGCTGTGAATGTGGAAAACGGCTATAAATCACATTTTTTCAGTGCCGTTGTAAATTCAAACGGTCACTAAATGAACTGTTGTAAGGCGAGGACTACCTGTACAGGTTGAACCAAAATATATCAGCACCCTTTTTTTTTCAGACTTTGCTATAATTACAAGGAAGAGCAATTATTAAGTTATTAGACAGAATAATTGGACACTTTGAAAAGCATTTCAGGTTGATCCCAAATTCGGAACATTGCAATACAAATTTTTTTTGAAAAAAGAACAAGCTCTTTGGATTTTACAAAATCATCAATTCTTGGTCGATGGTAAATGAAAACTGTACAGGTAATCTTTATTTAGCAACTGCTTCATTTAGCAACCATTTGCAGTTATGATGGTAATGAAATAGTAGCTTTATAACCAGTTTATGACATTTGCCGGTCTGTAAAGCAAAGAAAAGTTGAAGCTAGAACATAAGCACAGATGCGGTTTCACTTAGTGACTGCTTTACTTAACAACTGAGTTGCTATTCCCAGTCATGCTTGCTAAGCAGTTTATACCTGTAGCCCCATATATTATGTTCATGGAATTAAATTCCAATAAATACTATTTCTCGATAGTCCTCAAATTATGACCACAATGGAGCCCAAAATTTCTGTTGCTAAGTGAAACCATTGTTAAGTGAGTTTTGCCCCATTTTATGATCTTTTTGTCACAGTTGTTAAGTGAATCACTGCAGTTGCTAAATTAGTAACAAGCTTGTTAAGTGAATCGGGCTTTCCTATTGACTTGGCTTGTCGTTTGGTCGTAAAAGGGGATCATGTGACCCAAGCGCATGGCATCCGTCATAAATATGAGTCAGTTGCCAAGTGCCAGAATTTTGATCACATGACGCTGGGGATGCTACAAAAATCATAAGTGTGAAAAGTGGTCATAAGTCACTTTTCTCAGTGCCATTGTAACTGGATCAAAATCCATAATGTCCCTTTCTCATTCCAAGATTCTCATCTCTAGGCAAAATTCCCAGTTCAATTAAAGGATATCTTTATAAACAGTCAGCTCAGCTCCATTTTCAATATAGATTCTGCTACAACCTAGCTGACCACCAGGTGGCAGCAGTAGGACAGATTTTTCTTCCTGAATCTCTGATGCCATCTAGTGTTGATCTGAATATTGGAAACTTAGATGTGTGAGAACCCTAGTAATTTAATACAGATATTATGATGCTCAGTTTTATGGGAAACACATAAGTAGTCCTTGGTTTACAATTAGTCCCTTAGTGAATTTCCTGCATCTCTCTGGGGATACTTATGACCCAGTTCCAAAGTTCTGATAAGTGGGCTCCCCGCAGTCACATGACCACATTTGGTAACTTGTCCACATTTACAGCTATTTGCAATGTCCCGCAGTCATGTAACTGCATTTCACAACAGTTTCGCTGAAAACCAGCATTCAGTTGCAATTTTCAGCAAAATTGACCCATATTGGTTTAACAACTGCAGCATTCACTTAATACAAGGCAAAACAGGTCATAAAATCAAGTCAGTCATGTGGGTGACTCAGTTTACGAGCATCAGTAATGACTGAGGGTCTCCTCAGGATGCCATCGGCCAAGTTATGTCGGCTGGCGACACCCAGGGGGAGGGCCTTCTCTGTGATTATTATTATTATTATTATTATTATTATTATTATTATTATTATTATTAATGACCATTACGGTCATAAGTCAAGGACTATCTATAAATGGTTTTCCTTCTCTTTCTTTTTCTAGGCAACTTGAGATCTGCTCTCAATAGCCATGGAATCCTGCTTCTAAAAGATCACTATATATGGAGGGGAAAGGCCTAGATTAGATAAGATAAGATAAGATAATTTTATTTCTATCCCACCCCTCTCCCAAAGGACTCAGGGCGGTGCACAGCCAAGTAAAAACACAATATAAACATCATAATTAAATTTAAAAATTATTAAAATTCTTACATTTGTGGCCGAAATTCGTTAAAAACCCAAAAATTTAAAAACTCCAAATTTAAAACTCCATTACAAAGATAGCCCTGCCTGTCGGAAGAGCAGGGTCTTGAGGACACAGCGAAAAACTCGGAGGTCAGAGATTGTGCATATTTCCAGAGGCAGTTCGTTCCAAAGGGCAGGGGCTCCCACAGAGAAGGCTCTCCCCCTGAGTGTCGCCAGCCGACATAGTTTGGCCGACAGCACCCTGAGGAGTCCCTCTCTGTGGAGCGAACTGGTCGGTGGGAGGCTATCGGTGGCAGAAGGCGGTCTTGTAGGTACTCAGGTCCTAAGCCATGGAGCGCTTTAAAGGTGGTAACCAACACCTTGAATCGCACCCGGAAGACCACTGGGAGCCAGTGCAGCTCGCGCAAGAGAGGTGTTACATGAGTGCAACGGGTTGCACCCATAATCACCCACGCGGCCTCTGGCTAGGTGATCCTCTGGTCCACTTCAGCAACTCTTTTCTTGTATCTTCAAGTTACAGAATTGTTGTGGCCCCGCCCTCTGAGCCTATCTCATCGGAGGAAGAAAGCTCCAAACATGAGGAAGAGGAGTCAGCCAGGCCTCCCTCTCCAGGCCCCTCCCCTCTGGCACTGTCTCAGGTGCCGGCCGAGGGAGAGGAGATTAGCCAGGAGCCAGGTGTCTCAGATGAAAGCGAAGGAGAGCCGTCATTCCTGGATGCACGCCAACGAAGGCGTGATAAACGGTTGCAGCAGTTAAGGAAGCGTGCTAGGGATTAGAACTGAGTCACTGGACACACCCCAGAGACTATATAAGAGAGGGTGGTGGCTGGTAAAACTCCGTGACGAACAAAAACGAACTTTGGCTAGTCACTTGAACAACGTCTGAAGCTGCCGAAAGGGATTTTGTTTTGCTGGACTATTTGCAATGCGTATGTAATTTTCTGTTATCTGTTGCAGTAAAAGCTCTTGGCAGACGGTGATTATATTGCTGCCAAGTTTGAGATAACGACCTGTGTGCGTACCAAGTACTTTCTTAACCCTCGGCTGGCTGTGTTTGTGTGTGTGTGTGTGGACGGGGACAAATCAAGAATAATAGTGTTGAAAGGGACCTTAAAGGTCATCTAATCCAACCCCTGCCCAAGCAGGAGACCCTATTCCATTCCACACAAATCACCGTCTAATCTCTTCTTAAAAACCTCCAGTGCTGGATGTCTATGGAGATTCTCAGTCATCCAGGTCATGGTTGTCCTAAAGATGCTTTTTCAAGAGGCAACTGAACTTTCTGTTTTTTCTTTGAAGACATTTTGCTTTTCATCCAAGAAGTTTCTTCAGCTTGGATGAGAAGTGAAACGACTTCAAAGAAAAACCAGAAAGTCCAGTTGCCTCTTGAAAAAGCACTTTTGGGACTCCAGTGTTGGAGCACCCACAACTTCTGGAGACAAGTCATTCCACTGATTAATTGTTCTCACTGTGAAGAAATTTTCCTTAGGCCTAGATTGGTTCTTTCCTTGATTAGTTTCCATCCTTCCTTTCCTTCTTGTTCTTGTTCTTCAGGTACTTTGGAGAATAGCTTGACCCCCTCCTCTTTGTGGCAACCCCTCAAATATTGGAAGACTTCTATCATGTCACCCTAGTCCAGTGATGGCTAACCTTTTTGCCATCGCATGCCAGGAGAGGGGGGGCGGGGGAGGGTCACGCATGCACGTGCCCACGTGCATGCATGCGCAACCCCCTCCCCCCCACTGCTCCTGGCACATGATGGCCTGGTAGGCCCATTTTTCTTTCTTACCTGGTTCCAGATCCTCTCTGTGTATCTGGAACGGTGAAAACAGCCTTTCCCACTCCCTTGGAGGCCCTACGAGGCTGAAAGGGCCCATTTCCCAACTCTCGCTGGGACAGGAAGTGACATTTTTTGCTGTCCCCAGCCTCCAGAACCTCTCTAGGAGTCTGTAGGAGCCTTTCTAGGAGTCTCTGGAGGCTGGGGACAGGAAAAAATGTCACTTCCTGTCCCACCGGGAGTCGGGAAATGGGCCCTTTCAGCCCCCGTAGGGCCTCCAAGGGGGTGGGAAAGGCTGTTTTCACCCTTCCCAGATAAATAGAGAGGATCTGGAGCCAGGTAAGAAAGAAAAACGGGCCTTCCCCACCCCGACCCCAGGCCCTCCAGAGACAGGAAACAGCCTGTTTCCCTACTTCTGGTGGGCCCAGAAGGCCCGAAAATCAGCTGGCCTGCCCGCGCATGCGCCCCAAAGCTGAGCTGGTGTGCCCACTAATATGGCTCCACGTGCCACCTGTGGCATGCATGCCATAGGTTCGCCATCACGGCTCTAGTCTTTCCTTTCATTAAACATTTCCAAGTTGATCAACTTCTTCTACTACATTCAGTCCCAAAGCATCAAGAGCCAACCAAGCTATTCTGCTTACGATCTTGAAGTCCACATCTAATTGCCAGTTTACCCTTAGATCTGCAGGCGGGACCTGATGAAATTCTAATGGAGATTTAGACATGTAAGATCCACTTGTTTGTTTTTCTGCCCTGCCTAGGTTGAAATAACTCATTAGACCCAAATAGCTGGGTGGAGTTGCCACACCTTCTGGAAGG